ATATATAATATATATATATATTGATTTATTAAAAATTATACTATTAATTTTTTTAACTCTTATCTTTTATTTAAAATGAATAATTTGACTAATTTATACGTTGTTTTTTTATGTTGATGTACGGTTAATTTATGATTATATTTTTATATTAAATGTCAGAATGTATAATTATAAATTTAATTAAATTGTTTTTATTCTTAAAAAAAAAACAAATTTAAATGTTAAATATTAACGTTGAAAATCTTTAAAAAGTAATGTCTTGTACTCGAAGTAGTTTAAAATTTGATTTTGTTTTCGAATTTTTTACGATTTTTCTTGCTTTATTTTTAAAGGGAAAAAAAACATTTCTAGCATTCGAATTTTTGTATTTAATTCTTCTTATTCTAATTTGATTCCCGAAATTAAAGTTTTTATCCGAGTTTTTGAGATAATTTACGAACAGACAAACGTACGCATTATTTTCCATTCCTTTTTTTTTTTTTTAGTTTGAGTGTGTGTAAATTTTTATTGCATATTTTAAACGATTTATAACGAAAATCGAGGACATTCTCAAACGTTTAATTGAGAGAGAGTATCTAATTTCCTATACGTCTTCGCTCGTTTTTTTATTAATTAATAAAGTTAGATAATTTACCTTTTTTTAAATTAATATTTAATTAATAAGACAAACGACTAAAAAATAATATTTTCAATATTTATTATTATTATTTTTTTTTTCGATATGCATATCACACGCTCTAGCTTGTTCATAGATGCTACACACGTAAAATAGGAGATTAAGATTTGATCACAACTTGAAAACATTTTTATTTTTTTAAATTTCTTTCCTGAAATTGGATACTTTTTTTTCTCTTTCGTTTTAATTCTTAAAATAGTCATTTTTCTTCTTAAAAGAGTTTTTATTTTTTCCTTGTAATGATTATATACGTCCCAAAGAAACTACTCACAATAACAAGCTGTGTAAAGTTATTACTTTTCTTGAATAATTTAAGTTATTGTTAACAACTGCAGCAATCCTTCTTTCTCCTCCTCTTCTTCTTCTTCTTCTTCTTCTCTGGTTAATCCATTGTATGATTAATGAACCACGTTATTATACAAAGATATCAAGATGTTCCACTTTTATAAACAGATTTTTATCCTCGGAGAACGAATAATTAGTGAAATATTGAGACGTTTCCTCGTTTAGAATCGAAGAAGGAATGTAATTAAATGTTTAGAAACTTAATTTTATAAAATTAATTAAAATATAAATAACAAATTAAAGTGAAATTGTACGCTGTTTGGGCTCTTTGCATAAAGTTCAATTCTCCTAACTTAATATAGAATATTATGTAGGAAATAGCGGTGACGAATTGCAGTCCTTGTGTGATTGTGTGTGTGTTTCTTTTCCCCTTTTTCTTCTTCTTCGAGGGGGGATTAAGTTTAGTGAGTGAAATTCCCTTGGGCGTTACAGAAACAAAAGAATAGATGTAAGTGTGACAAGTCTATAGACTATACGTCAGTTGCTCGTCTAAAGTCAATATTTGTATGTCTAGATTGATGATTATTTCAATAGGAGAACAGAAGATATAATATATTTTCCTTTTTTTTTTTTGCTTTTACTTCCGAAAAATTTTTCACTTCTTTTCTCATTTGCATGGTTCCATCAATATCTTCTTGAAAGCTTTCCTAAATTCTGGATTAAATATAGTGTATATTATAGGATTTACACAACTGTTCATGTATCCGAGCCATGTCGTTAGTAAGAATGCCGTTATACCGGGTCTACAATCTGCACTTTGTAACTTTATACATATCGCATCCATAATATTGCACGTGAAGAACGGCACCCAACATATCAAAAATACACCTGAAACATAAAAAATTTACATATTAATTTGTAAATATAGATTAAATAGTAGTCTGTAGCAGTGGTTCTTAAACCTTTAGACTACACTCTCGTACTCCCTACAGAAAACTTCATTAAATATTTTTTTATTTGAGGGAGTAGGAACCATTTTCGGTTGTAAATTAAACGATTAAAAATATTTAATATTAGTACATTTTATTAAAGTTTCGTACTACGGGGGTGCGTGTACCCCAGGTTAAGAACCTCTGGTTCTTACTGAACTACATCTTAATCGTTATTGATGATGGTAAGCGAGTGTCGCGAAGTGCATCTGGAAGTATGGTTAGTGTCATTTAAGATATATATATTCTGGATTTATTTTAATATTAAATAATAATTTTAGAGTTTTTATATTTAAAATATTTGGCATTTTTATTGGACTTTTTTTCTCTTCTTATCGGAAGATTGAAAGATTTTCCTTGTCATTGCAATCTATTGCGCTCTCGAGTGTAGAATTGTCATCCGAAAAATAAAAAAGCAGCTCGATAGTTATGAGATTTCATTAGAAAAATCGTGTTTATTTGGAGAAGAGTAAAGTATTAAATGATCTTCTTTTAAGACAGCTTATGTTAGAAAAGTTTTTCTTTTTTAATAATGATATAAAAGTTGAGTAATCCTATCGATCTCATCAAACGACTCTACAAAAAAATTGGCATTTATGACAATAATAAAGACAATTTAATAACGAAAAGTGGAAAAATAAAGACAGTTTTTAATGAATTTAAATTAAGAAAAGTGAAAATTTTTCATACCTAAAACGATGGCTAAAGTTTTTGTGGCTTTCCTTTCACGTTTGGCTGATGCTTTCTCTCGTTTCTTCCTGCTGCTCTTGTGCTTCTTACCCAAATTAAATCGGGATTTTTTGATATGAGGAAGACGCAGTGATGGCTCGTGACTGTCACAACCGCTCCTTCTCGAAATATCCACCGATTTGGCCGAACCGTTATTTTTAGACTCCGGTGAGCGATTGTTGCATTTGACGTCTATGGGTACCAAGCTCTGAGAGGGTACGTTCACATGTGGATTCTCGAAAAACTGCGTTTCTTCTACGTTAGAAGCAACGTAGCCTGAATCCGTTGTACCATTGGCACCTATTGGTTCACTGTCTTTCCTAACAGAACTCATTGCAAAATTCGGAGCCTTCTCGTTAGGTATGATGTGGCATTCGTCCGCATCCGATACCCTCCTTGTTTCTGGTATGTCGTACTCTTCGTCCTCCTGGCTTCCGCTTCCGGTGTTTGTAGTCACGGCATCGGCTTCGACTACAATCTGCAACTGCTGAGTTTTATTATCCTTTGCCTGATTACTGGCTATTGTCAGTGTCGTTTCTTGAAGTGGTTGCGTTTGGGCTGTGTTTTCGATCACTAGACTGGGCCTTAGATCTGCCTGCTTGGATTTCTTTGCCGCCGCTTTTCTAGCTCTTTCATGGATTGCTTTGAATATTTTATAATAGAGAAATACCATCACTAAACACGGAATGTAAAACGAACTGAGCGATGAATAAATAATAAAGTCTGAATTGTAAAAGATACAAAGTTGAGGTGTTCTTTCGGGGGTCGTATTTAATCCCAAAACTATTGGAGAACCTATAGCTGCCGATACAATCCATACTATTGCTATAGTTAAAATCACCCTATTGTTATTTTTGTGTTTGGAATATTTAATTGGTTGAGTCACGGCTATAAACCTGCAATAGAACAACAACTTCCTGTAAAAATACATAGATTTAGGCGTGTTTTATAAAAAAACTTCAAACCTACCTGTCTATGCTAATGGCTACTAAATTGAAAATTGAAGCAGTGCTGCAAGTTACGTCTAAGGCTATGTAGAAATCACATAATGTATCACTCAGTTCCCAATTCACGTTTACCTGCAACGATACAAAGATAAGACGAGCATTTAACAACGTTTAAATGGATTAAAACATAATTGAATAGTGCATAAACTCCAGTTCGAATGTATTGATTTATCAGTAGAAATTCGATAATTGTTAGGTTATTAGCGGTTTAACGTTTAAAATCTAATTATCGAACGATTTCTAACCATTTATAATCGTTAATTGAACGATTTCGTAAAATTTCAATTTAATTAAACATAAAATTATATTAAAGCAACCTGTTTTATTTACTTATTAAACATAATTAAATACCATTTTATTCAATTTAAATTCTTAAAATATTAACCATAATCAACAACTGTAAGCTTAATTGATAAAATATGCTAGCATAAAAATTAATTTTCGCTTAGGAAAAGTTTCTTTTTATCAAATTATTCATTTTATGTACCACTCGAAACTTATTTTGATAATTAAAATAAACGTTTCTAATTAATTTAATTGATAAATTTTACGCATGAAACCATTTCAAGAACATATTTCTTCACTAAGAAAGTCATCATCAGATGAAGATATATAAGCAAAGTGATGCAATCAATCACTTTTACATATTCGATCATATCATATACGTGTCATCGATGACATACATAAACAGTAATAATATTGAATAATACATCTGCAGTAACAAAAAAAAACATATATATATATAACTTTTTATTTTATGAGAAAGTTTTCTCTACACCATTTACTATTCTACAAGAATCTACGATATATAAATAATACAAAATTTATCACTGTCGTGTTTCTTTTCTTTATTTATACCTTCAAAAACTTCATCTACAGATTCTAGATTAATTCTTCAACATGTACTGTATAAATTAAATGTTAATTTATGTAGAGATAACCTGGAATTATACTATAGTTAACTTATGGGCTTTATCTATACTCTTTAAATACTAGAGTATTTGGGTTCTTGTAGATTAATTTATCTATCTGTACTATTACAGAAGCATATAATGAATTGATCGTATCATGTAAACTTATACGAAGAGCAAATACAATTAGATATTGTTTCTGCAACAGTACAAATTAACTGTATATTATCGCTAAATAAGTTAATTTATCTGTTATACTTGTATTACAGAAGCATAAATGGATTCTAGAGATTGATTGATCGTATCAAGTATACTTGTATTCTGGAGTTTTGTACCGAAATTATACTAAATTCTCGTTGCTATATACTTTACATTTAACTTATATGTGGATCAGTATATATAACTCACTTATTAAGCAGGTTTCATCACGTTTATAGATTAGAATTATCAACTGAAATGATTATATTTACTTTGAAAAATTATATTACATAAAAGCGTAGATAAAGTCGGAATAAAAATTGAAAAAACTAATTTAAGTGTATATTATTCTCAAATAAATAATATATTTACTCAGTTTAGAGTCGAAATGAATATTTTTTGTTATAAAATAATCAACATTTGTTTATGCAAAGAATCCTTTAGAACTTGAAGAATTTAAATTATTTGCATATAATTATTTGAATAAAAGAGTTTTTATTTTCTCCTTTCGGGAATGTCATTATTAAAATATATATATCATATCTCATTATATTCTTTTACAACTAATTTCAAATTTATTACTTCCATCATTCTTTAATTTTCTAGTGTTTCATGCAATTAATCAACGTAAGAATAATTTATCTTTATATATAATTATTTTTAAAAATTCTATTTATGTTTTCTTAATGAAAATAAACTACACGAATGCTGTTTAATTTTAAAATATATTTTTTTCAAAAGGAAAGCCATCTCGGAGCAAGCTAAAGTTGGCTTTCCTGCACGACAATTACGAGCATTGCAGTGAAGCCTGCAATGTATTTATCCGTTAACTGTTTCCGATATACTTCAGCATCTTCTCGTTTCNTTGGTGTGAATATATATATATATATATATATCTTTTAGTTTTATTTCTTCTCACAAAAATTGTTTATTAAGTAATAATGCGAGTGCCTACATTAAACTTAATTCTTTCTAATACAAGTAAAAAACATTTTCTCTACTAGATAGAATATATATTAAATTGATAATACCCTTGGCAAAAATTGTATTAAAGCTTTTAAAATTATTGTTTACAACTACTGTATTTTTGATATTCATATATTGGATTGAAAATACAACATGTTTAACCATCCGTTCGATTGTTAGAAAGGAAACTGGGATTAAATTTAAATAATGCTTTTATAAGAAATCAGCTTTATGCAATTTTGAAGCCAAACGGGGAAAAAATTATACAGATAATACATTCATTCATCAGTAAATTGATTTGAAGCTATAAATCATAGTAATTCTCATTGATAATGTTATCATAGAAAGTAATTATTCATTTAAATAAGTAGAAACTAGTTTAAAAATATGTTATATACATCTGTTCAGCAATTATTACATTTATTTTGTGTGCAAAATTTTTAGGAAATAAAAGTGGGATTATCAAATTTTGCTTATATAAAAATTTCAAAAATGTTATCATTAATGAGGAAAATCGGAGAGATATTTTTATCACACTTTACATTTAAATATTAAAAATAATTTAATATTTAAATTACTTTTCTTTAAATAATAGAATGAAGCAGATTTTTAAAATATCGTTTAAAGATAATATGACACATGAAACGACAGATGATAACTATTAAAGAAATGATATCGATACGTTGCCATGATATTTTATTTACAAAGCAATAAGAAAACTTTCGAGAAATAAGAATTTCCTATTTATAAAATGCATAATTAAGATGAAATTTCTTCGTTGAAGATATTTTTCATCAATTCTTCAACGAATTAAATTCGTCTCCCGAATGATAAAATCAAATGTAATTGAGAAAATTTTCTTTCCTGTCAAATGACTTCATCAAAAATAGTATATATTTTCTATCAAATCCTAAAATAATTAAATAAATATTATCAAAAGCCGTAAACAAACTGATTAAAACAGAAAATAAATAGAATATTTTATATTCTCTATTCGCTATTCCTTGTAGAATTAGTAAGATAAATACGTTACTCTGACTTCTATGTAGGGAATTACTGTTTATAACTACAAAATTTAGAAACATTTCTTAAAATTATTATATAATATATTTTTAAAACATTTTCTAGTTAATATACTTTACATTTTATTGTAAAATTAATATTATACAATACTTAGGAATGATTTTAGATAAAGCGTACACAAAAATAATATATAAACTAGGTAAAATATTTAAACTTTCCAATGAGTGCTTCAATGGATATTAAATGAGTAGCTAAATAATAAATAACGCTGTAAATGTACTGTACATTAAGATTTATTGCTCCGATATATTGTAAAGTATGCTGTTGTACAGCAATTAATAAGCAATTTAGAGATGCTTTCTGCAACATAGAGCATCACATAGACCCTGAAAATGTCTGTGAATAAGAGTGCCTATGATAGATCCTACTGACTGTTTACAGTATAAAAGCTAAATTTTTGTAAGATTGTCTATCATTGGTTATTTTTCGACTCCATATAATTTAATTGGATGAATTGTTTAAATTACTCGTATGAAATGTCAGATTCGTGAAAGCAAACCCATAGAAATTTACATACATCAATCAATAATTATCTTACAAATCAAATTTATGATTTATCATTAATAATTTTAAATAACGAAGAGATTTTTACTCGCAAAATTCAGTGAAATTTATAAGCATAAACGTCTGACAAAGCGCAAAAATTTAGCTTTAAAGTTCAAACAGTTCAAGTAAATTGATAAGATAATAAATTAGAAAAATCAATCATTCGAAAGTGACTCAAGTTAACCGCACGATAATTATTTTATAATTATCAGCAATAATTGATTTAAGGATTTATAAACGAAGGAAAATAAATTAAAAAGTTCTGGATAAAGAAAGAAGTAAATCATATTTGCGACTAAACTTTCAGAACATCCATTCGTCAGCTAGTCAGGAAATGGTGGAAGTTATTATTAATAACTTTGACCTCTAGAGAATTTGTCATTAATATATGTCATTTTCTATATTTTATGTCAATATTATCTGTTTGTCGGTAATATATGTTGAAAATAACACTAAAATTACAAGAAATTTATTCATGTAAGATTTCCAGAGTGGAAAAGAAAAATAAAAGAGAAAAGAAAATTACAGAAGTAACGAGTTGAAGTTAGAAGTCAAGTGTAAGAAGAGAGCAAGAAAGGTGATAAATATGTTTAATTTATCTTGTATCGTTCACTGCTATTGGCTGTTAGTTGCAAGAGTTATATATAGCATCTTGGACGATAGAGAAGATTGATAAATTCCTTTAATTTCTTCACATTTTTTTATTTTTATACTAACATTTCTAAGTTTCCTAATTTATTATTTATTATATATTTCTAAATTTATATCATATTTAACTTATTTTGAGTCGTTCTCTCATCTTAATAATAGAATAGTTTAAAGGAGAAGAGAGAGTATTCATGTTGCACTCGAGATGATTAAAAAAAATACATTATATTTAATAAATTATCCTGAAATTTGGCGTGGTAAAGTGAATTTTGATAAAGTAAACATACGTACATTAAATTAGCATTAGTAACTTTACTGTTTGGTGACTGAACCATATGTTTCAAGCTAATTGTAGTACTGGAATGTATCTCGGTTTAACGTTACTGCAAATTAGAGCGAGAGGAGGTACTCTGTTAAGCCATGAAAATTTAACGCGTTATACTGTTAAATGGTTAATATGTTTGAATAAATATCTAATTATAGGTTTCTATGTTAAGTGTCTTCACAAATAAGCACTTTACTACATAGTTTCTTCGTTCCTTCTACCGAAAACACGTTCTTAATGACGTTAGAGAGAGAGAGAGAAAATAATAAAAGAGAGTCACATTTCTTACTTTGTTTCGTCACATCATTACCCAGGGTTATTATTGCAAATGTCTTCGTATATAACTTCTAATTATATCTAAGTGAACGAAAGTTACACGTTACAACAACTCTTTA